ATACAACCCTACCTTGTGTTTTACAAATTAATTTCGCTTTTGCTTTTCTTTACTGCATTAAGTGATTAGGAGTTAAGTAAAAGCCTAATTGGTGCATTACCAACCTTGTTATTCCATATTTACCCTGTTACCAGTTTTAAATTCGTATATGCCTAGTTTTGCTTAACTATGCTTAGAACGATGAAAGTCAGGTGATTACCTGTCATCTGCAAGTTTTAAATGGAATTTTGGTTACTTATGTTATCATGTGATATGGGAATGTGGAGTAATAAATCTAGACCGGGCGGACTCGGTGTATGGGAGCCGCAAGACATGGAGGTCTTGTGAGCGGGTTCTTTCTGCCTGTGTCGATTAAGGTCCGTACCGTTGTTGAATTGCATGAGGTGAGACTTTGTAGTACTAACCGCATACTCCGGTAAGCCTTAACTTGGCTATTCTATTACGAGAATGGCTACTCGCGCACTGGGAGTGGAGAGATGGCGGGAATAGCGTGTACCCACGTGGCAATGGGCTGGATTGGTGGAGTACTGTATTCTCGGGTGGCGCAAACCCGTTCTTGTTTTAGAAGATCCGAAGGTAGGTTGATATATGTAAGTCGGGGACCTGCATATGTCGTGTGGTCTGGAATTCTCAGCTGGGTTTTTAATCGGTTCGAATCATCGTTGCTCCTCGGTTATGGAGACTCAACTCACTGTTCATCATCGTAGTATTAATAACTGGAACTTGAGGCTGGTTTGAGAAAGTATTGGATACGAAGTTTCATGATCTCAATACGGATCGTGTCAGCTTTGTATATGATTTTATGAAGTTATAAATGTTGATATAAAGAATTTTGGTAAAAAGCTTTTACACAAAAGAACCTTGATTATTGTTAAGCCATACCTTGAACCCCATAAGCCTGCATTCCGGAGTTCTATCAGTTTTTATTTCGGTTAAGTCTTGTTGAATATCTTTGTACTTAGGGTTCGTTGACCCTTGTTGCATGTGAGGCTCATGAGCAGATCTGTTTTGGATCGTGCTGCATGACTGTTATTCAGTGCGAGGACGATAAGTAGATGTGTGGCTCTTGGGCAGGGCAGCCTATTTGTGTGTTTTGTATTATGTTATAATGCCACTCCACTACTAGGTTTTGTAATAATTATCGAACTTAGTTGTATGGTTTGAAACAAATGGTTTGTAAATTATGTTATTGTAAGTCTTCCGCTACTTTTACTCTGATGTATATATATTTGAATAAACTGTTGTAATACTGCAATGACTCTGTAATGTGATCCTGCTCGAAAATCGTGGATGATTCGGGGTTCTCCGAGGACACCCGACAGTCTTCTTAAGTTACCGGGACATATACATAGATGTCAAAGGTCGTTGGACAGTGACAGGTGCATGTGGGCCCTATAATTTAGGAGGTTCTGCCACACCGGACCTCTTGCACCCCCCATCTTACTCATATTCATTTGTAACCCCACTGCAAACTTTGAGCACCTGGGCTCAGGAATAAAGTCACCGACCGACTCAAACTGGGCGTAGGGCACGTTGCCTGAACTAGTATAAACCCTGTGTCATTGAGTGTTATGCCATATCCGATCACAACGTACGGCAAAACTACAAATATTTACTTGTTGGTCATTTTTCGCACCGACATGAACTCAAAGAGGAGGTGTTAGATTGTTTCAGCTTACTATAGAAAGATTTTTATCTTCAGAGGTGTCTTTAATCACCAAACTATTTGTAAAACCTTAACTCCGTTATTGACTACATATTTATACATCAAATAAGCTTTGAAAAGTCCATTATTATGCGTGCGCCAAACAAGTACATCCCTGTTGCAAGCGTACATTAGCCACTCTCGCAACAAAGTGATTTCATTCTAATACTCTATTAGGGCGTCCCAAGCGGAACGTCCAAATCGCTAACTGACGTGTACTTGAAATAAAATGAAAAAGGGAAGTCCAACGTACTCTGTTATGTTGTCTATGGTAACGTGTGGAGCAAAGACACATACTTCCTTGGAAGATGTGCGAGACTATCACAGAGAGACTCGCTAGAGTTTATTTTTCCTGCCTTCGCTCCTCCACGTCAGTCATATCCTTACGTCAGCCAGCGATTTGGATAGCTCGTTGGGGACGTCCTTAGTTTGCTACACACTAACACTCTTCTAAAAGGATCACTAATCAAGGGTCTCCTTAACACCGTGAAGACTCATAAAAAAATGTAAGTTGCATGTCTTTTTACAAACTTCGGAAAGTTTTTATTACCTTTAACATACTTATTTCTCAAAAGCTTTTTGCCAAACTCCATATTCATATATATATATATATATATATATATATATATATATATATATATATATATATATATATATATATATATATATATATATATATATATATATAGCTTAAAAGTCATTTGTTTAAGAGACATTTATTCTTTATATCGAAGTTTTGAATACCTAAACCTGTCTTGCCCTGCTTTATGCGAGATTATGACCAAGTCAGAGGCATATATAGGAATCCAGAGGAACACGTTATACACCACTCCTACAAATGATGATGCACACACTTGACGTCCAAGGCAATACAAAGCAAATTTGATACGTGCAGGCGTGATCGAATAAAACGACGATTCGATCGGACGGTTTCACCTAAGGGATCGACTGTGATACAGGTCAAAGTAATTAATATAAAACTACATCCAACAAACTTCTGCGAATTCTGGTTCTTGACTTGAATTCTACGGGAGATCCATGGAGCGTATGACCAGGAGCTCCTGTCGATCTTTCAGACTCTCTCAGGCAGGGAGGTGGAAGCAACATGATGTGGCAGACAGAGATTTTGTTGCACGTCTCTTTTCGCCAATATTTTGTTTGGCTCCGGCGTCGCGTGATCGCACACGTGTGACTGTTGGTGTCGCGCGCATTGCTTGCTTCTCGCCTGCGAAAGAGTCAAAAAGAGGGGACGCAGAACGCCAAACACTGCCCAGAAACACCGCCCGGTCATCAGACTACCCTGTCGTCGATTCGACCGCAGCTGGAGCGCAAGCAATTCTGCTGTGCCGATGCACAGTGACAGTGGCACTGTCGCGTATGTACACGGCGCCACTGTTGCATTGCATGCTCGCTCCAGCTGATATGTACGTATACTACGCGCGTACGTGCCACCAGTATCCTTGTTCCTTGGCCTCTCACGCACTGTATACTCTGACCCAGAAACGTGTAGGTGTAGACCTGTCAGGTACTGTACCGCGCTCGCACAGTAAACAGCACTGTGCCGTCGCCTTGCATGCGGGGCCCCGTGCCCGGTCTTTTCTCGCGTGCGCCGGTGCACGTACGCGCGCGTACCTTCCTTGTATTTTTCCCAGATCGGAGACCTGAGTTCCTGATCGGTATGATGACGTGAACCGCGAAAAGACGGGGTTAGATTAGCGCGTGTTCAGTTCCACCAAAATCCTAAAAAGTGCTACAGTACCTGTCACATCGAATATTTGCGGTTTATATATGGATAATTAAATGTAGATAAAAAAAAAACTAATTACACAGTTTGGTGAGAAATTGCGAGACAAACGTTTTAAGCCTAATTAGTCCATATTTAAACACTAATTATCAAATAAAAACGAACGTGCTATAGTAACACCAACTTTCAACTTCAAGGAACTAAACACGCCCTTAGATGACAGGAGTGGAGTGGGAATTGTGAGTGATGCGCCGCACAGTGCGTCCGTACGGAGGGCAGGTGGTCAGAGAGACAGCCACCTCCACAAATGGCGCTGATCAGCAGGGACGGAGACAAACACGCCAGGGATGGAGACAGACACGTCGGGCAAGCCAGGAAGCCAAGCATCTCGAGTGCGAGAGAACACCCCCTTAGCATGCAATGCATGCATGCTCTCGGTCTCCATCGCTGCACGATCAGAATGGGAAGCAACTAACGATATTTTTTTTTTTGGCGAATCAAATGTATAACCAGGCAGTATTTGTCCTTGCTTCCACTGAAAAAGAAAAGAAAAGGGAGGGGGAAGAAAAATCCGGCGTCCCGGGCCATGCATGTTCCATCTTTGACCGGTCCACTCAGCAAACCATCATACCCGTTTGGCCCAATCGGGGCTTTAATCAATGATCGTCTCTCGGCAAGCGCCTGTGGATGGATCTCACCAGCAGCTCCATGCTGCAGCTCTCTTTCTTCTTCTTGGACCGGTGAGAAAACGGCTGGTAGCCGGGGGGCGTGGAGCTGCCGTTCGGTCGGTGGCAAATCAGTCCCCCCCCATGGAAAACAATGATTACATTTAGTTGCCCAACTTGGGTAGAGGTTGCTCATCTTAGTTTTATCTTTCTCGTGGCGAGTGTAGGCTCCGTTCGACTGCCGTTATAAACCGGCTTATAAATCGGCTTATCAATTATGGTACATTATTTTTTTTTCAACAAATCAGCACAAGCGACTTATAGACCAGCCGAACAGAACTAAAACTCTCAGCGCGCATGGGCATGCCCTGCAGTGCAGGGCGTGTTGGGGTCGATACTCGGCCCTTGTTTAGATCCTCCGCCAAAGTTTTACACCATATCCCATCGAATATTTAGACACATGTATGGAGTATTAAATATAAATTAAAAAAATAACTAATTGCACAGATTACGACTATTTTGCGAGACGAATCTTCTAAGCCTAATTACTCCATGATTTGACAACAAAGCGCTACAGGCACATGTGCTAATGATAGATTAATTATGCTTAATAAATTTGTCTCGTGGTTTACTAGCAGATAATTTATTTTTTTTATTAATATTCGAACACCCACGCCACGTCCATGTAACACCAGGTATAACACCTGGATCTTTAGGCTGCATCTAAAGGCCTCGATTGGGCACGGCGGGTGGGTACGCTGTTGTTTTTGACTCGGACGACGACGGCGTCATGTAGCGCGAGGGCCGGGCCCGTCTCGGCCGCTTGGGCCGCGCTGTGGCCAGGGTGGCCGACCGCCCGTCCATCGCCGCCTTCCCGAGGCGGAGGATGAGGAGGACTGCGCCTCTGCGCCCGCCTGTAGCCGAGCCGAGCCGAGAGAGCACGGCAGCTGGTGGTGGTGCTGCTGCTACTGCTGCCGCTGGGATGGGAGCCCCCCACAACCGCCCGCCCGGTCCACCACCGCGCCAGTCTGCCCGCCTCGCTGCCGTGCCAGCTCGGTTCGCGCGCTACAGTGTAAAGCTGACGCCACTCGGCTCCGCTGCTGAGCGCCCCACCCCCACGGCCCACGCATTGCGCTGCGAACCCCACCCCCACGTACGGCCGCGAGCTCCGTCGCGACGCGTTGCCGGCCGGTCGCTCGTGATCGTGATGCAGGCTTTGCGACTCGCGAGGAGACGGACGAACGGGGCGGCTCTTTGAATGCACGCCGCACGCCCACACCAGACACCACCAACACCAAGGGTGAAGCCGGCGGCGCTCAAGGGAGAAGCGATCGCGCTATGGATGGTGTGGTGTGTGCACGGGCGGCGCGTCCGTGCGAGCGACCTGACCAACCTGCGCGGCTTTACCTTTACCCATTTCGAGCCAAAGCTTTTGACCTCCCGCACGGGCCACGGCGGCCCACGGGGGCGCGGACGGACGGCGACGGACACACAGACATCAGCTGCTCTGCACTTCTGCCCTGCCCGTGCGTCTCCGTGTGCGTGTGGGGGCCTGGCCGCCTGAGGTGTGGCTGGCTGCTTCGTGTCTGAAAGGTTGAATATTTGCATGCTGCATTGCATGCATGAGCTTGCCATGCGTCTGTGGCTTTCGCGCTTCGCTAGTCAAGTTTACTGTTCTATATGTCCCTGCTTTTGTAAAAAAAAAAACTCGATTCAGTGGTTCTTTGTTTTACAAAAAAAATATCTGCAGGCTTGTCATTTCTCGGACACTTTGTTTGCTGCTCCATGTCCATGTATTCGCGAAAAAAATAAGACCTCGTTTAGTTCCTCCCCAAATTTACATCGTATCCCATCAAATATTTAACACATGCATGGAGTATTAAATATAGACTAAAAAAATAACTAATTATATAGTTTGCGATTAATTTACGAGACGAATATTTTAAGTCTAATTAATCCACGATTTGACAATGTGGTGCTACATTAACATATGTGCTAATGACGGATTTTAGGTTTAATAAATTCGTCTCGCAATTTACTGATGGATTTTGTAATTTATTTTTTATTAGTATATGAACACTCCGTACGACGCTTATGACGTACGATATGACAACAAAAACTTTAGATTTAAACAAGCCCCCGAGAGAAGACAAGCAAGGCGAGAAAAATTGTCCCCATGGGGACGAGAACGAGGCAGAGCAAAAGATGTAGCGGCAGCGCACCGCCGAGGTCAGAAAGGCTGCAGGCCTGCAGATATAGAAAATGAAAAAACGAGCGTGAACTCCGAACAGCAAAAACCCTGCATATACACATAGAAAAACATCAAGCGGGTCCTTTTACTTGAGGGCGAGCGGCTACAGCCACGCACCAAGGCTCCACTATATAACCGGCTATGCGATTCCTCCGCATACAGAACCACCTTCAGATCTCACGTCTCGCTCGCATATCTCACTCTACTGATAACCATCATCCTCTTCGTCGGGCGAGAAGGGACGGCCTCCATCCATCCATGGAGCTCTTTGCAGCAGCCGAGGAGAAGCCGTGCAGCAAGCTGTTCAGGAAGAGGAGCGGCGGTGGCGGCGCGAAGGCGGGCATGGGCGCCATGCGCGGCGACGGCAGCGGCAGCGGCAAGGGCCGATCCTTCTCCGGGCGGTGCGCGCGGCTCGTCAAGGAGCAGCGCGCGCGGTTCTACATCATGCGCCGGTGCGTCACGATGCTGGTGTGCTGGCGCGAGTACGCCTGAGTCCTGACGGCGGCAGAGGCCGCGACGCCGCATGCAGGATGCAAGCAAGCAAGCTGAGAGAGGAGGAGGAGCAGCAGCAGCAGCAGCCGAGCAAAGTCAAGATGCTCGATCCGTCGCCTCGTTTAATTAGGAACCAAGAAGAACCTTGCGTAAAGATGATCACGGCTTTATGCTTTATGCTCTTGTAGTCTTGTTGTTTCAGCCCTCGCACCTGTATGTTCCATTTGGGGCAGTGTATGCAGCCTAGATGATCACGGCAAGTGCTGCGCGTTCTGCTGTTCCAACGTAGTAGTAATGTGAGCGTCTAGTATACAGGAACTTGAGCTGTTTAGCTTCTTGCTGGAAACTGTGCATCTGAGCCCCTTGTCTGGCCTCCCTCCTCGATACCGTGCGGTGATTCCTCTTCCTCATCGGAGTGCGATTCCACTGTTGCTCTGCTATTTCTTTACAGTTTTTCCCCTGTACGTAATCCGTAATCCTGAAAAGCGACCAGAAAATTATCACCAGTTGCTACCGCTTCTCACTGCCAAATGCATGTGTCGGATCGGCGATCGCCATGTTACGGTTACTTGAGTTTTGAACCTGTGCTGACCGTAGCTGTAAGCATACAACAGCTACACCTCGACACTGACAGGGTTCTACGGGAAATACTTAGTACTCCGTAATTATCTGGAGTTACCATAATGGCATAATATATGTAACAGTAGTCAAGGCCGACGAAGGTTGTAGGAGGAGCCAAAAGAGGAGGGAAATGAGGCGAGCGAGAGGCGCTGCAACACGACCCTTCCGCGCCGGGAAGACGTTGCTGGTGGCGGACTCCCGAGGCCGGGGGTGTGCTGACGCGCTGCATAATTTACTCCCAAAACGACGCCTCCGTATCTGAGCGCTCCTGTGCCGGCTGTAGGCTGTGGCCTGCACGCCACCGCCTCCTGGCACTGATCGATTCGTTGATAAGCCACGGCTCCGTTGGCTGATCAGTTTTGAGAGAAATACTATTTATTTATTGAAAAAATACGGTTTATAAATCAAATGAACAGGGCGTTGGTCCAGTTGCAATTGGGAGCGCACCGTACTTGCAACGCAATCCCTCTCATTCATCTGCCGCGTCTAGCTACGATACATATATATACTAGCATGCAGACTACGACGACCGCTACTCTACAGTCGTCTACTACTTACGACGAGCATCCCAACCCAGAACCCACTGTTCAGTGTTCATCCAAGGGGCAGGGGCACCAGTATTAACCGGAGAAGTAAGCGTCATCGTCCATCCCTGTATCTGCTGCAATGACGACCTCTGTCAATTGACAGGAGAGATGCAATTTTTTGGGAGGCCTAGCTCTGACCTAGTATATATAGTAGTATGGCTATAGATTACGGCACGAGTTTTTGCATTGCTCCACGCATATTCCCCTGCCCATGCTTCCTCTTGCTCTGCTTCTCGCCCTCAAACTAAACATGACACGCTGCTCCTTCCTCTTACGTCGGAGCGGGTTTGTTTCAGCGATCCATCGATGCTGAAGATGCCAGGGACCCATGCTCGCTCGCTGCCCTGCCATGCTACTAAACGCTTGCATTGCATTGCATGCGGCGCAGGATCATCAGCTGCACCGGCGCGCGCGCAGTGGCTGCCATGGCAGTGGTCCTTCGATCCGCCTACGGAGGTGGAGCGAGTCCTCGCTCCCTCCCTAGGCCTTTGCAGGTAAACCCCCGGTGTAAGCCAACAGAGGATGCACGACGCAGGACCCCCACCTCGCGCACTGTCTCGATGCAAAAGCCCGCAGAGCCCCAGCACGGCCGGCTTCTGGATGGATGCCTCTGTGCTTTGTACCGCAAAGCCGGTCCTTCCGGAGACTTCATCCATATCCGACATGTACTGTCTGGGTGCTAAATATATGTTTTTATCAAAGAATTTCGAGGAGGACAGACATCAGCTTTCTTAGGCTGCTGGTTTATAAGCCGCTTGTGCTGATTTATATGTTGAGAGAGAAAAATATTATACCATGGCTGATAAACCGGCTTATATGAGCAGCCGAACACAGCCCACATCATTCGTGTACGTAAACAAATAAATATTCTGGTTTTCATCGTCGTCATTAGTGCTATTTCAGTTTATGTGCATGAAAATCCTAGGCTTACTCAGGCATACTTGAATCTTATATGGCTTACTGAGGCAAACTGAAGAAGTAAACGTCAGTGTTTCACTCCTGACTGAAAATGGTTGTGGTTGAAGTTAGTCGTTGCAGGGTAGCCTAATGCTCGGTTTGCTCGCCTTCACAGCACGCACGGCCCTTCTTGATGCAGAGCTAGCCGTTGCTGGCGCTACGTAACCGTGGATGGCGGTGCTGTTAAGACGGTGATCAGGAAAGCAAAGGCGGACGCTGTTGCGCCTTCAGACATCCTTCCCCTTGTCGAGGGTATCTCTCTGCATCTTGCTGTATCCAGCAGTAACCTGTGCGGCCAAGCGCTGTTCCCTGATGCCAGACTAGCCTCTGAAATGCTCAGCGATCATAGATTTATGCAGACTGTTGGCTTTTTTTTGAATAAAAACACATAGATAAACGACAGTAAATCAGCCATGAATACATACTGAAATGCAACGAGGTCAGCAGTACAAAAGCCGATGTATTTGTACATAAGAGTCTATATGTAGTACAAAAGCCTAGATTCATTCTTCATACTTGTACATTGCGTGCAGTGCAGTTCATTACGAAGGTACGCTTTCTGAGAATGGTGAGGTTTTCAACACTACTACGAAGACAACTCTGTTTTCTCATTTCAAATTGGAGATGGGACTACCATCAAGGCACGCGATATACAGTAGCTGTCAGAACTACGAAAGTGAATGCATGCTCTGAGATCGCTCGTTCAGTCGTTCGTAATAAAGCATAGCCATCTCTTAAGCATTTTGTTCTGTTATAATTGCATTATCGCACCGATTTGTTGAAGATTGGAGACGTCGCGGGAATCAGATGTTAGCCACAGTATGTATATGGAGCTGCGGGATCACTTCCAGGGACACCGCCTTACAATGCTTTTCGTTTGAACTTCACAGGCATTAAAATTCCAGTTTCTGAAATTGCTAGTCCAAAGGTAACAATAACATCATATTTCTTGGGTGCAACTCTCATGCTTGAGATGGAACTAGTGGCATGTATGCTGAGGAAACTCTGAATATCTTTTTTTTTCTTTTTGTGCTATAGTCAATTCCGAATTCACAGGCGACCTCAAAACTTGCATAACGGTGTCATTCAGGTCCGTAACTCTCAAATTTTGTTATTTAAGTCCCCAAACTTGACCCCAATTCTATAATTTTGATATTTGGGACCCAAAACTTTATATGGTGGTGATCCAAATGAACTCTGATCCGATCTAGGCACTGGTGTGGCGCGTCAACTGTATGTTAACGTGGACCCGGCATGTGAAACCCATGTATCAACGTCTCTCTCTTCTCGCTCTCAAAGCTCATCATTCCCCATTGCAAGCCAGACATGGCTTCCCAAACACCAAACCTGGTGACAAGGCGCCTGCCATCACGATATGCTAGTGTGGCCACGACCGAGAGATGTGCCAATTTTGTGGCCGGTGGCTTAGGAGTTAGGACCATGGAGCCCGAGAGCAGATATGCATGGAAGGGCAGAAGACAACAAGCACGAGAGAGGGCCTGCTGCGTGCTAGCATCCGTGACCAAGCCACTGTTGGTCTAAGCCAGCTTGCCATTGCCGGTAACCTGTGAGGGAGGAGATAGTGAACTCATGAGAGATAGAGGGCACGAGAGGATGAGAGAGTGGAGCGTACCACAACTTGTTTGGACCAATATTAGCACACGAGATAAGTTCAATGATATTGGACCCAAGTATCAAAATTCGAGAGTTCGAAGCCTAGTGACACCGACACATAAGTTCAATGACTCTTAATCAAAATTCTAGATCTAGGACCTGAATGACACCTCCATGCAAGTTTAGTTCTCATTCCACAATGTGTTAGTGTAAACAACAATGTATGTGAAATTTAGCATATATTTTCGTCTGCAATTGCAGATTTTGTATGGGTTTGACTGTATTTGTGATGACATTGAGTTGAAGATGCAGATGGAGACTGCTACTTGTAGCCAAACAGTCTGTTCGCTTGTTGGTTTCAGCCAGCCCAAACCAGTCAGTCAATAATGTTTTTCTCTTAAAAATACCTAGCACCAGCCAGCCCAAACCAGCACCAGCACTAACCAGCGAACAGGCCCTAAAAGGAAGAAAATAGGAAATGGGAGGAGGCAAAAGCAGCCGCGGCTGCCCGCGTGCAAGCAAGCAGCCTGTTCGAGAGGCCGTATCGTATCGTGGATTATTTACTGTTGGCTGGTTTAGTGTGAGAGAAAAACACTGTTCCCGGCTGAAAATTTACGATCGTTTACGAGCAAGCGAACAGGCTGTTAGAGGCAAAGAAGGGCACGGGGAAAAAGGGACGAGTAGCCACCTGCTGTTTGTCCCTGACTAATACGAGTATGGAGTATGGACTGAAGTCTTCGAATGTAACGCAAAGAGCAGAACAAAAACATGCAATAGACGAATCTTTCAAAACTACTCCATCCATTCCAAATTATAAATCGCTTTGATTTTTTTTTCATCTAGACATAATATTATATCCAAATACATAGTAAAATGGATGTAAAAAAAATCGTGACTTATAATTTGAAACGGAGAGAGTACTGTGCTTATACCTGTTTTCTACAGCATTTTATCTGTTCGAAATTCTGGACGGCATGTATGCAAATCCATGCGTGGCTGCGAGCCTTTACAGTAAAAAGGCATACGCTGCTGGTCAACAGAGGCACTGCTTTACGGTCTGCGCAAAGCCTCCGAGTATGCCTGCAGACTATTCTGGCTCTGCCAATGCAGGAAGTGATTCGCTAGTCCAGTCTTGCATTGACTATAATGCTGTGCCAGACGATTCCTACTCTGCAGGGTCATTCTCAAGGTTCCTAGCCTGACGAGAGACGGCCTGTGGAACTGTAATCAGGAACATGCAGGAATACAGATTCCAGGCAAGGCGGCAGAGCTAACAAGTAACGCGTCCTTGTACAGCTAACATAACAGCTTCAGGCGAAAAATAGAAATTCAACACTTGTTGGAAACAAATAGGTGCACGGTATATGGTACAACTCTATGTGCAAACAGCTATACCGACGTGTATTTCTCAACAACGATTGTCCTTAACTCATTATGTACTATCTTACAAAATAATACATGAGCTTTCAGGACAAAAAAAAAACAGTTTGGGCATAACTTTACAACAGAACAACCTTAAGTACAGTTTTCCTTTTTTTTTTGGTGTGTGTTAGTACAGCCCACTCTAGTCTACTACACAAGCAATAATTCCTTCTTTGATCAAGAATGTCCAAAAAAAAGGGAGGAAAACCTAAGTATGTCAGCTTCTCTAAAAATCCTAATGACAGATCCCACGAGGCTTTAGGAAATTTAATCCTAAAGCTCATCTTCATGTATCTAGCAGTATCCTAAACACACTGGATTTGATGTAGCACAACCTTACTACAAAAGTTCAAGCATTGGAAAACACTGTCCTTTTAAGGATAGACAAACACTCTGGTTAAATGCTAAAAATCAAAACTGTGAAGAATAGCACATCTAGCACTTGTGTGGGCACCTGAGTTTCTTTTGCAAATTAGCAGATACTATCTAACATGAGTGTACCCTTATATGGTGTGCATCACATTGGTGAAGTTGATAGTGGAATGTCATATGATGTGCGGAAACGAACACCATTTCCTATGTTCCTTGATATTGGGCAGAGCCAGCACAACATGTTAGGTCCTAGCACCTGTATAAGAAAAATAACAAAATGTTGGGAGATCTGTGGTAATAATTGTTCACCTCCTGTATTTAAGCAATGAACCAAGAAAAAACTTTCAAGAGAATATATTTGTAACATAAGCTTAATATGAAAATCCCAGTAAAGAAATGGATATGTGAAAAACAACATAAACCACACCAGATAACTAGATAAGACCTGGACTTCAGTTAGTCCTTTGAATAGTCAAATATAAAGCCCAGTCCATGGTAATGGAGAAGACACACTAGTGTTATTTCAATCTGGGAAAGGATATTTATGTTTAGTTATTTACATACCAATGCACTTAGGCTGATCTCTCTGTTTTTTTTTTGTTGGCAAAAATCTTAATAATAGAAATAAAGAAGTGTTCTCACCGAAACTAGGTTCTCATAGACTCCAAGGTTATAAGGATGATGATAAATGTTTCCAGCCTTTTCAGCCAACCACGTAGCCCTAACTCCTTCATGATACTGCAAACCACCGATGTAACTACCATCACACAAAATCTTCAAACAATGATATCAAAGACAGAGATCATATTTCTCAAACCTCAATAGTAGTCTTATTATGTAAGATGAGGTAAACGTGCCAACCCAATAGAACCATCAGTGCCAACGCTAAAGGGCACAGAAGAACCCCACAGACAATCTGTGCAATATATAACATCTGAGTTATTCAAACATAACTTCAGACGAAAATTCAGATGGTGATTGATTTGCTCGTAGCTGAAACATCCTTCCAGGGTACTTACAATAGCTGTTCTAGAAGAATCACTGCCTGGTTGTTCATCTTTAGGTAAATGCACAGCACCACCTATAATGAGAACCTGATGTAAACATCAATAACTTTATGCTCAATCTTTCAGAAGCTTTGGTTGCTCAAGAAAATCAAGGATAACACAGTACCATAGAATAGAAGCTTGCAATTACAGCATACAGAACAAAAACTAGGAATATCTTGTAGTTCTCATGCCCAACACAGTTATTAATCCATATACAGTGGTGGTCCTGCACAGGAAAAGTTGTTTAATGCAGATTAGAATTAAAAACACAAAAAAAGAGGAGTTGCACATAGCACTAGTCAGTACCATTCTTAGAACACATCTTTTGCAGACACGACAATGGTGCGCTCGAGGAGGTTTATAATGGGAACATTTCTGGCAGTATCTCAAATCACCACCCTGCAATGTTCTGGAGTAAGTTAGCACACAGTCCCCTGTACTAGTCTGATTTAGTCACAAAGATTCCTTTTTAACATTCCTCACAAAATAAAATTACAACACTAGGATGACACTGCCCAAGATGAGATGGAGGATAACCAGCGATCTGCAACCCGCTGAGATGCTGGCAAAGTGGCAAACTCATATGCTAGTTTATAAGTAGTCAGAGGGAACTATTCTTCTAGTCTCACTGAATGACGCTTTTGTGCGGTCTGTTTGGGAGTCCTATACTTTGAGTTCAGCTAAGCTATTTGTCTAAAATGTTGTCAGGTAATTGCTTTGACATTCTGTTTCTGATTGTAATACTAATGGACCATGGCCCCCCTAGAACTCTAAAAAAACTAGAAAATGCATGTGAATGTGAATCTAAAAAGAATGTACTCTTAGTTCTCCTTTTGCGCCCAGATTTTTTTTGCAGAATGGTGTGTAATCAATTCAAGGGCAACTGCAGTACACAAATTCCAGGACCAGAATACAACTTGATGGTATATTAGAGTTAAGTAGCATACTAGCAATATAACTACAGCCACTATAGGAAGTACAAGAAAACGTGCACTCTATTATTTTCCATGTGCACTCAATTAATACGACAGTGCTTATTCAAGGAATGAGATCATGTGACAGGCTTAATAGGCAATATTGATATGAATTCCTGAGAGTCCTGGGAACAGTTGGTGTATCAAAGTTCTGAATTGACCTAGATTTATTTTATTTCTTTTCGAAGCTTAACTGATTGGTATGATATTTTTTTCCCCAAGCAATTGGAGTATGTCATTTCTTCTTGTAAGTCTACATATAGGATGGTACCAGGTACAGAGCCCTGATGCTTAGATCTAGACCATAATACCAAAGCTATGCACACGAACAAGAGTAGATTCCCAGTTCCCACTTGGTGTAATTTGGAAACCAGTGTCACTCAATCTAAAATCGCAACACCGAGGCGCTCGGCGCGCCAATAGGTATAGGACCATTCCCGTGATCCCGACGAAGAATCCAAATCTCACGCGCGGAACTACGAACTCGCCGGACGCCCGGACCTTGCTTGGAGGCAATGCCTGCTCGAAATCTAATCCCAAGATCTGAACTCGTAACGAAGTTTCTGATTCTACACGTATGACTACCATCCCAGTACGTAGATCTAAACTTCATAGCACGCGGCAGGGGCCTCCGCGAGATCTGGAGTGGTCCATGGCCCAGACGGAGGGAGGCAGGGGGCGTGAATAGAGTACCTTGCGCTTGATCTCGTGGATGGGGCTCCCGGCGTCCTCGACGTCGGGCACGAAGGACGCCGGCACGCGGCCCGGGTCGCGCGATACGGCGATGGCGTAGGTAGCGACGCAGGCGGCGGCGAGCGCGGTGAAGACCGCGGCGTTGGCGAGCCCGGCCGCCGTGGAGAGCCCCAGCCACGCGGGGATCGCCAGGAACACCGTGGTGTAGTAGACATAGCCGATCGCGGCGAGCACGGAGAGTATCGGCACCGTGATGTACCCCGTTCGCCCCATCCGAGCCGCCGCCCAGTGCTCCTCTTCCGCCCGGACGGGGCGGCAGAGCATTCCGGGGGAAAAGGAATCCCCGGCGGCGTCGGCAGGGAGAGGAGCTCGTCCGTCTCGCACGACGGTAGGCAGCGGCACAGGCACAGCGAGCGAATTGGCTTGCTTTGTACTCCTAGTTAGCTCGCTTGCTGCCGCGCTAGTGTTTGGCGCGGGGAGAAAGTGCGCGGGTGGGAGAGGTGATCGCCGTGGCAGCGATTCAGCGACGGGTTGAGTGCGGTGAGCTGGGGTTGGTAGCGCGTGGACGTCCGGGCGCGTGGTGCCGTGGACGTGGCGCCGTGCGTCGTTGATGCGGTTGCGGCAGGGACGTCTGAACTTGCGTCGACGCGACGGCTGCGGCCTTGCGGGCAGCCAGAGAGGAGAATAGGAGATGATATATCGTCAGATACATGATGATGATTGGACTATTGCAGTATAAACATAAGGAGTAATATTTGGATATAATTATTTATTTTTATGGAATATAATCATAAATGAAATTTAGTTTTCCCCTTATTCATTAACTGTTCCACCTACAGTGAAATCATCTCGGGCATTCCTTTCAATCCATCGCGTTCGTTGGTTTCCATCCTTATCGGCTTCTTCCGTTTCATGTACTCTTCTAGGATCGACCCTTCCCTCAGACCCTCACACACATCATCTCTCTCTGTCCCAACATCTCTAGAGCTCCCCACCCGCCTCCGCTGCCTCCACTGCCGTCCGCCCACCCTCTCCTTCCCAGCCTGTGCCGCCAGAACCCTACGGCAAGCGCCGGCCCTACCACACCGACGCCGGTCGTGGCGCCCTATGCGACGCGTCTCCGGACCTGGCGCCCAGTCAGGCACTATTTATTAATTGTTCCACCTACAGTGAAACCATCTCAACCGTTTTTTCCTATCCATCGTGTCCAGTGGTTTCCATCCTTATCAGCTTCTTCTGTTCCCCGTACTCTTCTCTCCTAGGACCGTCCCTTCCCACAGACCCTCACGCACATCATCTCTCTCCCCGTCCCGACATCTCTAGAGCTCCCGCCGCCCGCCTCCGCTGCCTCCGCTACCGTTCGCCCTCCCTCTCCTTCCCCTGGCGCCGCGTGCCAACCTGTGCCGCTAAAACTTGATGGCGAGCGTCGGCCCCACCATGCCGACGTCGGTCATGGCGCCCTATGCGACATGTCTTTAGATCTGACGTCCAGTCAGACACTATTCATTAACCGTTCCACCTCCATCTTAGCCGTTTCTTTTGTCCATCGCGCCCGGTGGTTTCCATGCTTATCAGCTTCTTCCGTTCCCCGTACTCTTCTCTCGTAGGACCGGCCCTTCCCACCATGGGCGGATTTGGGCCTAGGGCCACTAGGGCCATGGCCCTATGCGTGGCCCAAGGAACTCCTTATACCACTCTTATTTTTTCTGGCCCAATCCGTTCCAGAAAGGAGAGGCTCTAGTCTGTTGGCCCAGCAACAGCAAATGCGCTCGCAATCATTCGTCACAGGCTCGCAGCGCTCGCCTAGCCCAGTTTCTGCCCTCTCATAGTCTGGTCGCACCCCCTTGCCCGTTGCCCCTTGCTCTGCGGCTCGGCCATTTGCCCAAGTCCAAATAGCCGCACGGCTTGTAGCTCCAGCGAAGCGGCGTGCAGCCCTCCTGGAATTGGAGGTGAGCTGGTGCAATGCTTGGATTTTAGACGAACAGACGGCGACTAAATTTCTCCAATCCCTGTGTCGTGCGCCGTGCAATTGGGTGTCCTGGTGGCCGGCAATCGGTGTTGACTCGTTCGTGTCGCTGGATGGAAGAAGCAAGCAAGCATGTTAGTGTTTAGGCCTGGTACTCCATGCTCCTAATTTTCCCAAACTCCTTTTTAAGGCATGACCCAATCTAGTTTTCTTGATTAGACGGTGATTGCTCCATTGATCATTAGAAGATAATCCATTTTTTAAATGTTCCTATTGTTATTCATCGATCTTCGCCTGTTTAAGGTGGTACTAAAATGCGGATCTGAATAAGTTCATCTTTCTGTATGCTAGAACATGATATTTTTGCAATTTGCTCAAGTTATTTGATGCGGCAAAATAGGCTCGCCTGAATGTGACTTTGCAAATAAAATAGGCTTGCCGGAATAAGTTATTATTTTATTTTTTGCTTGTGTGAATTATCAGTAGGGCCTGTTATGAATTGCTTAGGCGGTTTGGGCCCTAGGCGCGTTGATTTTCACCGGCTCCGCCACTGCTTCCCACAGACCCTCACGCACATCATATCTCTCTCCCCGTCCCGACATCTCTGGAGCTCCCGCCGCCCTCCGCCGCTGCCTCCGCTGCCGTCCGCCCTCCCTCTCCTTCCCCCCGGCGCCGCGCGCCAGCCTGTGCCGCCAGAACCCGACGGCGAGCGCCGGCCTACCACGCCGACGCCGGTCGTGGCGCCCTATGTGACGCGTCTCCGGATCTGGCGCCCATCTCCGCCGCCACCTCCGGCGCCCCCTCCCTCCCTCACCCCCACGCGGCGCGCACTCCGCGCAGCAGCCTCGCGGCCACGCCGCCGTCCTCTGCGCCACACGCTGCACGCGCCATCGCGTGGCACCGCAGCTGTGCCGCCTCAGCGCTCTCCTGCCGTCTCCTATATGGCACGCTAATCGGTAGCCTCCTCGATTCTTGATTTCGTTGTTGTCCTTTTACCAGATTATCTGCCTTCCTCTTTTATGGTTAGGGTTTTGACCACGTTAATCGAGTCTACACCCTGAAGTACAGTGTTTATGCATTGATTTGTTCCTGTTCAAATATTTCTAGGATTCTTACACTTATCTATTCATGTGCTTCTTTCATTTAACCTGATTTAATTATTTACATGTATTTGGTTGCCAGGTGTGAAAAACATCATCTGGAGGTTCTTCGAAAATAGCTCCCCTGGGTATGAAAACCAAAATCGATGGTATGGTCGATTCTGCGAATTTGATATTCAGACCAAAGTATCATACCAAATTTGCTTTGGCTTTCATATTCTCTCAGTATCTTAGTGCAGCATATGGTGACTTTGGTCAGGACTTCCTGCTCTTTATTGTCCTGCACCGCATGCTACTTTCGTTAGAGATGGAATTTGGCAAGAACATCTTCTGTTAGTAGTGATCATTATGAATCCTAGGTGGCCAAGACTGTTAATTGTTCCTACTGACACACGATAGCAGTCCAAGGTTGCTGACAGTTGGTAATTTATCTGTCCTTTTGCTTCTCATCCATGTCTTTCCAATAACTGCCGAATTGGTTTATGTCAGCAGAACATTATTATCATACATTCTGCCATGTCATTTGTTTTTCTTTGATGCTTATTTACCAAAGTGGTGATAGATATTCTTCTTAGATACGATGGCCTCCAGGTCATATAATGTATCAGTTTGTGTGCCTTACATTATTTTCAAATGTTATTCTAACCATTGAGTAACAGGATCCATGCATCGTGTATATTGCCACGTGTAAACGGATAACTGGGGATCACACAGTTTCTTCATATTTTGCATTTGTCTTCTACTTTGCAGGTTTGCCTCATTTGCCTAATAAGCTAGACATACATGGATTTTTCCATTCTGCTGATATCAGTTAAGGTACTAAGCATATTATATGCCTTCTGGATTTTTCCTTCACATACCTAAGGTCAATTCTTACCCCCAAAAAACTTATTTGTCAGACATGGTCTTTTAGTCGATAAACAGAGACTAAAGAGTGAATTTGGGTGATGGCAATGGATGAAGTCAAAAATAGAGGCAAGGCTTCAACATTTTTGTATAAGCCCAGGCCTCACTATATTTTGTCTCTCTTTATCTGCATGGAAAATGACATATAGAAACTGAAAACACAGGCATTTTTTTGTGAAAACACAGGCTAGAGCTTGAGTCTTGACTGTTGTGGAAATGGACTACATAGACTTTGTGCTGATTGCATTACTTTTATTTTCTTTGATTACTTCTTAGATCCCAAAAAGTCATCAGTCATATTATTTTTGGTCAGGTCACACTATTTGGCCTTATTTTCTGAACTATTGCAGGGCTACCTGTGATTCTTGCAGGCTGCTAATTTTTTTCCCTGTGTATCTCATTATTATCCCATCAAATGCCTATGTTTGTGCCTGGGCATGATAAACAACATTGCTGCCCTGGGATGGGTGTTGCTTTCCTGCTTTTATCAAATCACCTTGGTATATGACAGTCATGTATCAGTGATAACAATGCAATAAGGCAGTCATGTCTGTAGATATAGATTCTACATGGGCTTTCGCCTAGCAGATGTCACTTGAACTTTTAATCTTGGTCCAGGGGGAAGGAATGTTATGGTTCTATTTCTGCAGCTATACTCTTTTTTTCGTTGATTTTGTATTTTTTTGTTTCCAAACATTGTATCCTTAGCGATCATGTTTTCTTATGTTGCTAATCTTTTTTGTGACCTATGCATACACAGCACTCATTCCACGCTGCCAGGCTGTTGACCTACCTCCCCGCCCCTGTCCTCTCCGAAGACGTCGTGGAAGGAGTCTGAGAAACGACATCAACCTTGCAACACAGGATGAAAGGTGGTTCCTTCTTTTTTCAATCATTGTTCCATATGTTAATGTATCGTCTTCTTTCATGTTACTTCAATTTCCCATTTCCTCTTTTTTTGCTAGAGAGAATCAACGGTGAAGCTTTCTATGATGTGGCCATGTTTAATTGTAGATGCTTCAGTTAGACGTATAGATTTCAGTGTTGTTGTTTTAGAGATTCATCATATCCCAGATTCCAGCTTTGCTACTTAGCTTCTGCTACACTTCTACACAACGGTTCTTCTCGGTTCTAACCGTGCTTCTCGCAAATTTCAGATGATGCCCGAATCTTTTGGAACATTCTTGCCTAATATAAAAAGGTAATCTCTGATATTTTTATTTGGTTTCTTTAGCTGCTGACCAACTAGGTACAATGTGCCATCTGTGAGCGTATATCTTTCACCGTCCTCCTGCCCCAGGTTTCAGGTGCTGCTCCTGTTGTAGCTATAAATGGGGTGCACGGTTCAAGTTCCTCCCTTTTGTAAGAATATCTTGCTTTGCTTTTGCATCCTATTTGTGCATGTCTCTGTGGTGTAGTAAACAATCTTTTCTTGCTCCTACTTTTCTATATTTTGTCATGTTACTGTTTCTTCGGCTAGTGTATTTTTAAACTGATTTTGGGTCCCTATTTTCTGATTCTTTAGCATAGATACGTAATCGAGTTCTGATGTGCGATTTCCACACTTACTAATGTAAATTTTTTTTTTACATGTGCAGGTTTGCTTACATCCCTTTCTAGCACACCGGGCATACTTATGCAGGAGGTGGTGTACACTCCTGAAATGTCTAAAACACTAAAGCTGAATAATTTGAAATAGCGTGGACCTGCTTCATAACAGCAATCGCTTATATAGGTTGCGACCATGTCATAATGTGAATATTGGGAATTGAAATGTATGTACTCTTTGCGGCTTCTGAATATCACATGGTTTGTTGGCCAAACAAATGCTTTGGTATCTATAACAATGCCGATACAAAAAACCAGCATATTATTGGCAAAAATTCAAAGGTTCTGTTCAAAAGTAGACTGCAAGTGTCTCATTCCTGAAACAAACGTGACGGACATAGCAAATGCAGTTGAACTTAGCCCGTGGCAACGCGCGGGGTTCCTGCTAGTTATTTATAATTACCGAGATAGAAAGCGATAATGATTAGAAGTGGATTGTTTTACCTTGGTGAGTAGCCGCTGCCGCTGCTCTCGATCTCTGATCTTCAAGATTCTGCCATCGATCAGCACCTCGCACCCGCTCTTGTCTAGCTGTCCGATGCTAACAATGCTTGAGTGCAGTTGAGGGATGTAGTAGATGTTCATCAGCGTGTGGTGCTCGCCGTTCTAGCACCGGAAGATGATGGTGCCGCAGCCTCGAATCTCCACCTTCGAGCCGTTCCCGAACCTCACGGTCCCCGTCACGCTGCCCTCAAGCTCAAAGAAGGCCACCTTGGAGCCGGTCATGTGATTGCTAGCCCAGAAGTCCAGGTACCACCTCTGCTCCAACTTGCCGCCCACTCATCCGAGATGGACTTGGGCGCACGGCTCGTCGAGGGTGATGGCCTGTGATGCATTTCTCTGCTCCGTAACCGCCACCTCCTCTGCTTTCTCCTCTGCCTCGACGTTGTGCAGCGCACAAAATGTCGCCATCAGGAGAGTACGCTCATCGTCGTCCACCTGCGCTAGGTGAGCCTCGGCCTTCTTCTCCTTCTTGTTCGGGCACTCCTTGGCCTAGTGGCCAGTCTTCCCGCAGCGCCGGCAGGCGTTGGGGTCGACCTCCTCCTTCTTCTTCTGTGGAGCCTTGCCGCGGCGCTTGCCGTCGCCGCCGTGGCTGGAAGAGCCTTCCCCGGACCGCCCCTTCTTCATCCGGGCTGTCCACTCTTCCTCGGTCAGCAGCAGCTTGCCGCTGTTCGTCGTCGTCGTCGGCTCCGTGCGCTCGTCCACCGCCCGCAAGCGCCCGGTCAGGGGTCGACAAGTCCTGCATCGTCTCAATGGAGAGAGCGATCTGGGTGTACTTGGACGGCACGACGCGTAGGTACATGGAGACCGCTTCTTTGTTGTTGATGGTGATGTCGTGCGCCGCCAGCTGGCTGACGAGCGACTACAACCAGACGGAGAAATCCTCAACTACCTCACCTTCGCGGAACTAAAGGTTGTCGTACTGCTACCGCAGCTGTTGCGCCTTCACCTTCTTTGCGCGATCAGAGCCGATGCGCATGGCGGCGATGGCGTCCCAAGCCTCCTTAGCGGTCTTCTTTGCCCCAAGCTGCTCCCGATACTCCTGTGTCACGAAAGCCATGATTGCTTCCACTGCCGAGCAATCCTCCTCTTCGTCCTCGGTGCCCTGGTCAATATATCGCCTTCCAGAGCCATCGGGCTCTGAGCTTGACCTTCATGGTCACCGCCCACTCGCCGTAGTTGGTGCTGGTAAGGATCGTCCAGTTAGCCTCGCTAACCTCTGGCGTGGCTGAGCATCGATAGCATCTCCACCGCCGGTGACCACCTCCGAGCCAGCCTCGCCAACCATCGCCAGTGATCAGTCGGGCAACGCAGGCAACCTGTCGGCTCTGATACCACTTGTTGGCCCCTCGATCCCCTGCATAGGTAAGCAACTAGTTTACCAGCCCCCCCCCCACCCACCCACCCCCACACCCCCCAACACACACTTGGCTAGAGGTAGAAGACAAGATGAGCACAGCACACACACATAGTCGAGCAGCAGCTTTGCAGCTCTAAAAGTGGCTTCAGCTGAACTGAATTCCATTGGCTTTGGGTGTAGTATATATACAACCTACAAGTACCATACTAGGTACAAAGGTACAACTACTACAATGTCCTCTAGGACATGGCTGATCTCAGCCCACTACTTGGTATGGCTGAGGTATGCCTTTACCAACTACTGTACTAACTAGTACTAGAAATGACCTAATGCCTTACTGCTATAACAACTAGGACAACAGAGATTGAAATGCCAACTCTACTGTGTAGGAAATCAGAGAGAGATCAGCAGCAGGTTATGTCTTACAATAATAAATTCACAATCATCGTTTGTTTATTACATAATCTTTGAGGTTAAATAGTACATAATCTTAGATGAAAAGGCTTAATCTTGGTACATATCTTTTGAGAATGTTCATGGTCAGGTCTACTATTTACATATTTTTTTAGTCAATCAATTTGAGGGTAAATATCCACAGAATTCTTGCAACATAATGTTCTAAAGCTTTTATTGCACGCAGCATTCTAACAGTGCATGTTAGAAGTGTGGATTTAAAGAATAAATCTACTTTGAGAGGATATCTACATCTGATTGATCTTGCTGGGAGTGAAAGAGTTGAGCGGTCTGAAGCAATTGGAGATAGATTAAAAGAAGCACAACATATTAACAAATCCCTCTCTTCTCTTGGCGATGTGATTTTTGCTTTGGCACAGAGAAATGCCCATCTTCCATATCGAAACAGCAAGTTGACTCAAGTTCTACAAAGTTCTTTAGGTAATATATAATTGTTCCTCGCAAAAAAGTGGCACCAAATAGTTGTTATTGGTTTATGTATGCAGGTTCGAAAAAAAAGTTTATGTATGCCACATTAATTACTTAAATGATAATTCTCTTCTGTTTTCATGCAGGTGGACAAGCAAAGACACTAATGTTTGTTCACATTAGTCCGGATATAGAATCATACTCAGAAACAAAAAGCACTTTGGAGTTTGCTGAACGGGTTTCTGGAGTTGAGTTAGGTGTCGCAAGAAGCAACAAAGAGGTAAAGATATAAAAGATCTATTAGAGCATATAGGTTCGGCGTCCTATGGTTATCTTGTTTCAGAAGTCAATCATTTTTGTGTCCAGGTTTCATATCTGAAAGGCACAATACCATGGAAAGATATGGAAATTGATGAACTCCGGAAGGACAAAGCCAAATCTAAAAGTTCATCAATAGATAGAAATGACACTAGCCAACAGATCCGACTATCACGTAAGGAATTTATGTTCTAGTGACAGAATTTCATTATGCCCTCAAAAAATCATTGTGTGGCGAATGGAATCAGTAATGGACGCACTTCACCCTCTAATATATAGAGGCTATTGGATCAGGGGCGAAGCCCGGTGTAGGGGGACCATGACGCCTAAGAGAGGGATGATGAATTAGGTAACTTAAAAATCTACTCTAAACTATTGCCTCTAATTCCACCTTAGCAAAATCTATGCAAGCAAGTAATCTATCTAAATGTGCAACTACGGTTTTGCTAATGTGTTGCTATCTCTACCGTAAAAGAGTCTTGCAACCTAAGTTCCAACCCCACAAACGCTATCAACTAGCCTATTAACTAAGCTAGGAAACCTTGTTTAAGTATGCACACAACCTAAAGATAGGTAATAAATGTAAATCTGAAAGGTAAAGATGAGGTATAGATGCAAATTCCCGTCGACATGTGGGGCCCGCTGCGTAAAGAGCTATATAATGTTGATTCTAGGGTTTCAGACTTTCGGTTCATTTTCCCACCCATCCCACTCTCCACCGAGGTATCGAGAACACGCTCGTCCGGCCTCCCAGTCCCAGTCAGCATGCTTCCCCTAGTCCTCGTTGGAGCCCTCACTCATGGCTCCCCAGGTTCCCCACGGCTGGTGGCCTACCCCTCGGCCTCCAAGGGGCTAAGCTCCCAGGCAACAGCCATCGGGTAACTCCATCCTCCCACACTGGATAGCCCCTCTTGATGCCTCCCAAAGATCATCCGGCCTCCTCCCCACTTGCCCAGGCCAGGCCACCATCCCCACCAGCAACTGTTCAAGTGGGTGCTTTTTGGTCCGAGATCTGCTATCTGCACTTCAATGAACTGAAACGGTGATGCCTGATAAGCGACTCTTGTTGTAAAACAAGCTCCTAATAACCTCTCTAAACCGCAAGCAAACTATGTTTTGTTTTGCTTCCTTTTATGGTCCAATTTTCGATCTTCATCTATCAAGCTTCAAGAACCTCCGACCCAAACGTAGCAAAATTTAGTTTTTTCATGCCCATTGTTACTTATATGGTGAGCATGATGGATATACACCTCACAATTTCAATGCTAGAATGAGATTTGGATTTGAGGGAATTCTGACACACTCATCTTTGATGTATGGATTGCCTTGAAATCCTTGGTGATGGTGTGTTCTCGCATGCAAGACTATGCTTAACATGCCATTTCTTCTCATAGCTGTTGTACAAGTTAAGTTGGCAAACACATTCTCTTTAGAGAGATCCAAAAGATCTTCGTATAAAGTACCAATCTCATCCAGTGAGTGGCCTTGCCATCTCATATTCAATTTATCTGATCTTTGGAGGTTTAGAGGTATGCAAACCTCACTAAGCAACTAGACCTAGCTCCCAGCCTTCCCAGAAGCAAGCACATATGACCGTGGTCTAACTAACATAAACCTTCCAAGCAAAGCACCTTTCAGCTAATCACCATGTAATCTTTAAGCTCTATGCATGTGGAGAGCACAAATGAGGTGTAGCAACACCTCCTATCTTCCCTCAGCTCCCTCACTCTCCAAATGGTCGGTTGGGGCAAGTATTTATATTTATAGCCCCAAAGTCGAAGCTAGCTGCAATACCAGGCCGAGATCCTCTTCTCTGCGAGGTCATTGTTGATCACCATGGACAGGTTAGTGCATTACAACCTTTGTCCAAATGGCACTAGAAACACTATTAGCTCAGATGAGGAGAGAGAAAAGGAAAGCTAGGATATTCTTGCAAAGACAAATTGTTGGGGCTATCTACTACTTTGTTCATAGGGGTGGTGCACCACCACCCTTGGACTGTTAGGTATAATTATGTTAATTATGTCCACTAAATTATTGGTGCCCGAGTCCCCCCAAATTATTGCATTGCTTGATGTACCCCCATAGAAAATTAGGCCTCCGTTGGGATGGCACAATCGCCACCGCTATTGATTCTTAACAAAACTTATGCACCGCCACCCTCATTGTGAAAGATGGCATGGCGATGGTTGGAATTGAACTGCTGTGACCAAAAAGGTATGAAAAGTTTGAGAAAACTGCTCTAAATAAAAATGTTGAATTGGACAAGAAGTTGCATTTAGACCGCAAAACTAGATGGAACTCACGCTATACCTTATAGTGTTGTTCGGTGCCCACCTTTTGGACATTTGCTACTAGTTGTAGCATGAGCCTCTTGAAATGCTTTTTACAGGTGGCACCTCCACACCAACTAGAGATGCACCTCCATGCCTAGGAAAAGGTGCCCCATCTTGTTGTTTTCTTCCACGCTTTTACTTTGCTATCCCTTTTTAGAGAAGAGGCTGCTTGGAAAATATATTACAGAGGCCGTGGAATTGCTTACTAGTTTAATGAAACATTATCATGTGGGCTTCCTCCAGTGGTGCGTTATCTTCGCTTCTTGGACTCCTTGCTTCTCTCCTAAGCTGTCAACACCTCCTCCAATGTCTTCTCTTGAGTGTTGATCAATTTCGTCATGTTCCAAAGTTGGTCCAAGTCCGCGTTGCATCCTATTGAACTATAAAATAGACACTAGCAAACACATTAGTCCAATTTGTTTGTGTTGATCATCAAACACCAAAATCCAAAGTAAATGAACCTAGGGTCCATTTTCCATACAATCCCCCTTTTTGGTGATTAATGACAATACGACCAATGCAAGCAAATAATAATAAATGCAAAAATTTAAAAACTACCTACTTGCTATGATGCAATGCAAAGGCAAGTTTATATGATGCAAAAGGATACCACTTGTGAAAAACTTTGGAAACTTATCTTGCCCTTGCAAATATCCCCAAATGGCATTATAGACTTAAGCCTCCCCCTAACTCCATAATCCACTATTCTCCCTTTTTTGGACTATTACCACTTGTAAAATTTATTATGATTGGGCTTGCTTTTGGTCCTACAAATTCTCCCCCTTTGAAATCAAACACCGAAAAGAAAGACATTGGTAGCACAAGGGAGGCTCAAACTTTATGATCCTTTGTACGTGGAGTGGAATAGGTTACAAAATTTGACTCTCACATTACATAGACTAAGCTCCCCAAAATATATGCATACATATGATGGAGGGTGAAATATATGCATAATCGGTAAATTAATGCACAAGGGAGTTTAATCTATATAATGCATGAAAAAAGCATATAAATATCAAATTGAAGTCAACACAATGATATCGGTTAGGAATACCACATTTAGAAACCAATTTGATTGACACCACTTGAAATGGGTGTTGATCATTTGAAGTTTGATGTTTATCTCCGGGGACTCTATTTTCCTTGCAATGATACTACTACATACATGATAGACTTGAAAAGGTGTTGGTCTCAAAGTATCCAAGTTGTAGAGTAACATCCCCTAAATTTGTGCACACAAGTATAGAATACTTGTAGGAGACATGCACATTGATTTTGGAATAAAAAATACCACTTGAAAAATGATATCACATGAATGTGAGAATCATTTTAAAAAATAATATTCGGGGGGAAATATCTACAATTTGGACTTTGGCACATATTAGATAACCAATTGTAAAACAAGCTATGTGTCGTGCTCCTAAGAAATTTAAACCATATAGGTTTGCTCCAAAGGTAAGAGTGATACTGAGCAAGCCTACCATAAGATATACCTAGTGTATGCATGACAAAAGATTAAACATGCAAATGCAAACCTAGGCACGAAAAGGAACTAGATGCTAATTGAGATCGCAAGAAATTAAATCTAGTTACCTAACATGGGAGGAGAATTTGGATCCATAGTATTCACTAACCCACTTGGCAATTACCTTGACCATCATGATGCACCCCATGAAACACACCCAAATTATACCAAAGTCTCTAAATTCCCCGAACTCAATCGGACTTTCCACTTCCCTTTGGGATCCAAACCTTCTTGGTGCTCTTCATGTTTGGAATGATCTCCTTTGGCACCCAAATGTGTTTGGCTCTATTGTTGACTTGCTTGTTCATCTTGATAGCCATCACCTTATCATTTTTCTTCTTCTTCAAGAGATAAGGTGTGGAGGCCTTTTTGTAGGTGTTGGAGAGCTTGCTTGTTTTCTTTTTATTTTTCCCTTTCTTCTTAGCTCCTCCCCCATTCTTCACCTTGCACTTATAGGACTTGTGGCCTTTCTTGTGGCATACATAGCAAACCATGGTTTGTCTTTCATCAAGCTTCTTTACTCCCTTGACAGTGTTATCTTGATGAAGTTGGGCTTGCTCCATTTTGCCTTTTACTTGAGTCAAGTCCTTGGTAAGGCGAGCCACTTCTTGCTTGAGTTGCTCATTCTCCATTGCGACGTCTTGTGTGTATGTATCTACAACAACTTTCTCAACACAAACTTGGTTGCACAGGAGCGAGTCTAAACATAAATCATTGCAAGAAGTAGAGGCATCATTTTTAGGCATATCAAAAATTGAAATTTTCTTTTTAGGTGCCTTGGTGGGGGTTGTACAGACGGCTTTAAGATTTGCAAGTTTATTAGTTAGCTTATCACAATGTTTGCACATGGTTTTCATTTTAGCAAGCAAACTTTTATAGGCATCTTATGAGCTAGCTAACTTTTCTTTTAATTTTTTATTTTTCTTTACAAGTTGTTCATCATTGATTGTGCATGTATTTGTTGTTGCACTAGCCTCAAGTTGCTCAATTTTAGTAGATAGTTCAATATTGAGATTAGCAAATATCTTATATTGTTCAAACAAGGTTTTATTTGCTGCTTGTGAACTATCTAGCTTTTCTTGCAATATTTTTAGCTTCTTTTGATGACTAGTGCAACTTTTAGCATATTTAAGATTTTCTTGCACAAGTTGCTCAGAAGAAGGTAGCAAATCGTCACTATCACTATTATTGTCACTATCACTAGGGATAGACTTTTTGTTACCTCATGTCATAAGGCACACTCATGAAGTGTTTGATGATGAGTGCTTGTACCCTCGCCTCTTGTGATGGTCTTCTTCTTCACTTAAAGAATTATCCCATGACCTCATTGATGT